CGATGCATTACGGGGTGCATCGTTACAAGGGTATTCGAACTCATGACTGTAATCTACGGCACAGCAGCCGCACCATTTCTGGCCATAAGAGCATTACGAAAACTCACCGAAGATGAAGCCTCTGACTACTCACTTGGCTCGAGAATCGTGTTGAGAGACTTCTATGTAGATGACATGCTAACAGGAGCGAAATCAGTAAATGAAGCAACGATCATAAAACAGCAAACTTATGAATTACTCAAACGAGGGGAATTCGAACTAACGAAATGGTGCTCCAACGAAACCAAGCTACGAGACAATGAATCGCTAGCAGATAATAAAGAGTTTGACGCGAGCGGATCTCAAGGTGAGACTCAAGCACGTGGATTAGTGTGGAACTACGAGTTGGATGAATTCAAATTCGTTGACACAGGCAAATGGACAACACTCGAGAAAGTCACCAAGCGAAACATTCTATCAAGGACGGCACTAATCTTCGATCCATTGGGGTTCATAGGACCTGTAACGTTGACGGGAAAAATCATCATGCAAGAACTGTGGTTGCTGAAAATTAATTGGGACGAATCAATCCCTATGGAACTGAACACTACGTGGAAGGAGTATGAATCACAGCTCAAACAGTTGGATGACGTCAAGATTCCTCGAAAAATACTGACAGAAAACCTCGTATACATTGAATTACACGGATTTGCCGATGCTAGTCAACAGGCGTATGGAGCATGCGTGTACATGCGGTCTATCTCGGAAAACGGACAAGTGGAAAGTCATTTGATTGCGTCCAAATCACGGATAGCGCCTGTGAAATCACTGTCAATACCACGACTAGAATTATGTGGAGCTTTGGTGCTTGCTCAATTAGTCGATAAACTGAAGAACTGCTTAAACTGTAAGATCGACAATATCATTTATTGGACCGATTCCAATATAGTATTGTGCTGGTTACAAGCACCTGGTCGTAATTAAACACCATTTGTCGCCAATCGAGTAGGAGAAATTCAATCATTAACCATCATTGACAATTGGCGTCACATACCAAGCAAGGAAAACCCCGCGGATTTGCTCTCGAGAGGACTAAGTCCGCACGCAATATCCA